TCGAGCTGAAAAGTCGGTGAAGGCGATTTCGTGGTTCTTCTTTGAATCGTATTTTTTGACCGCAAACATACTTGCTTGGCAGAACAGTAGACGGCATACGGAAGGAGGCTTATCATCGCCTTCGAGTTGGCACGGCTGGTTAATTCTTTCAACTATATGAGGTTACTTCAATATGAGTTCGTGAGTAATACCGTGCTGGTCGTGGCTCTATTTGCTCTGGAAGCGCGAGCGCTAATTGTATGGATGTTGAACAAATAGTTTGAACTTTCTTTTGAAAAAAAACCTGGTTAGTGAGCAGCGCGTAGCTAGGATAGGTTCTCAGTGGCGCGATGTGCGGACCGCTGTTTCCGAAATGTCTGCCTGATTCCTAGCTGATTTTGAGCAGTTTTAACCACATCGTTGGCACCTGCATTCTGAAGCCTGATCAGGAACCACCCTTTGATCGCAATAAGCTGGTGTTCAGCTACCGTCAATGGTTGGAACAGAATAGACGATGCAGACTGAACTCGTCCTGCACTCTGCGATCACTGGTTAACTCATGAGGATTTCTTCATCCGGGCTTCAATAAATTTCCAAAGGAGGACCTTCTATCAACTGTGCGCCTCAAACGTTCGAGTGTGGTGGTCACGTATGGCAGAAATAACTCGTAGTGGGTTGGCTCCAGTGGGAGAGCATAGAATCCAAATCGTACCGATTGCCTCCCTGGATCAGGATTTTCTACAAGGCCGTAGTCCCCAGAGCGGCGGTGATCTAACAAGGAATGGTCAATTGATCAGCCCCGCCATTTGAAATAAAATATATACTTGATACGTGCCCCGAGACGCTGAGTTTCGGTATCTGCAGAACGATTCCTTAAAAGAAGTTATGAAGCAGGAAAGCGCAGTGGCAGTGACCTTGACTCGCAGGCAAGAGCTCGTGGAATCGACTCCAGTGCGTGTCAATACCTCTGCTCTTTTCAGAATCGTGGCCAGAAAGACATTCTACGTATCTCTGAGAAGAGCAAAAGTCTGGACACTGGAATCCATCCCATGATCTCCTGCTTGTGAGTCAAAGTCACTACCACTGCGCTTTCCCTGCTTCATAACCTTTTTGAGGAAATTGTTCCACAGATAACAAAGTAGTTTTCGACTCAGCATCCCGAGGCACGTATACAAGCATGAATTTCATTTTAAATAGCCGGACTGACCAGCTGACCTTTCCTTGTGAGCATTCTGATGCCGAATTGGTGGACGATGACAAGGAGATGTATCGCAGTGAAAATATTACCTCTGCCTTCTATAAGTTTGCGGCCTCGTTAAAGTTCGTAAACCAAAGCGTGGAAAACATGACGATGTTCTTCTGCCATTTTGAACTCGAAGACAGCGATAAAGGCGAACACGATTCGGTTGCAAAGCACTTCACGTGATGCGTTCTTTGTAGACTGCGTGGTCTATTTGGAAAACGCGAAATAAAATTCTAGTGAGATCCAAAAGGTGGCACGAACCTTTGAGACACCCTTTTATGGAGGGGTTGTATTCATGGAGAAACATGGGAAAAATCAGGAGATTTGAATTTTCCACCAAGAGCAGTTTTGGGGGCGTAGTTCTGAAGTAAACCAGACTGATACGAATTGAAGGACACCATGTACATCACTAATTGTTAAGGGGAGGAGGGCGTTTTAGTGACGCTCACCATAATATTGGGGAGGGGAGGGGGGTTCGTCTACTTCCAATTTTTTTCCAGCGTGGCGTTGACCCTGGCTGCAAGATGTCAGCGGAAGAATACCCACCTTGGAAGGAAGACAAAAAGCGAAATTTTGGAGGAAATTTTTCATTTGATTTTCTATTACCGAAGAAAAGCTTGAACAAACAAGACAATATCACAACCAATACCCGTGAAATTCCCCTACTTTCGGACAGCTTTAACATTGTTCTTGCAAAGCTCTGGCGTTTGTTGTGGGAAGAAGCAGGCAATTTCTTTCCGAGTTGACATTGACCAGCGAGAAGGAGGTGGGAGGTCTAATGAGTGAGCTAAACATAAGGTATTTCCCAGCCAAAACCAATAATTTTTGATATTACTCTCCCATAAGCCAAAGGCAAAAGGGCAGTGTTATGGGGTAGACATTGATGGTGAGTTATCCCGAACAAGTTTCGCAAACGACGGCGGTCATCTTTTGAAGCCGTACAGTACTGTGGTCATCACAAGAGCCCAGTTACCCATCAGCTTCCTGCAGAACGTCAGTTCGCAGTCCCACTGACAAAATAGTATGAGCTTTTTTAACGAAGTCAGGATTTTTCCTCTGCAAGCGGCTTTCTTCCTCGCTGAATCCAAATACTTTGATTTTCAAATCAACAAGAAAAGTTCTTAAGAACACTTCTGATGAGAAACCGACAGCTACTCAATAACCATCAAAATAACGATGATTCGATGAAATCCATGCTTGCTTCGATGCTAACGAAAAGAATTCTTGCCAAAGAGTTTACTGTGGCGTTTGAAAATAGGAGAGGTACACGCAACATTGGCTGGTCGCCGCAAAATCTATTAGGCTCGAAAAAAGCGACAAGAAAGGTAGGACAAGTGAAGACAAATCAAGGCCACCGCTGTCGTACATCCGGAGCTAAGAAATACACCAACTAATTTTGAGTACAGTGGTAACAAGAATATGATGACACCTTGTCGCAGTCTATATGGTATATTTATTTCAAATTTGTGAGGCCTGTAGAGTGGAAGATGACTGTAACTATATTGTCAAAAATACCGGATGGATGGTCAACTGTAACTACACCCCAAATGTCCTACCGATTGCCAACAGAAATTTTCGGAGACTCTTCAGCGAAAGTTTTTCGTGAAAAAACACTTCTTCTTAAGCTTTCCTAAACTCAAAAAAGCAGAACTGAATCGTTTTTGTCACCATCTCAAAAAAAATCTCGCTAAAGTGAGCTACAATAAAATTGCATGAATGAAATGAAGTAACCACATGGATTGCTGTCAGTGATATCCAAAGAAATTGTCAGCATTTTGAACAAGGAAAGGCGAAAACAACCAGCGAAGGACACAGAACAAATGTTGGTACTCCAGTTGTTAAAGACGAAACCCCAATTTTGGGCCAGCGGTGAGTTCCATTTTCGGATTGTCCCCATTTTCTATTGCTTTTCATACGCAGCTCCACCCAATAAAGCCTAGTTTCGGCATTTAACAAGCACTTGATTCCTCATTTTAGAAAGTTCGAAGTGGCCCACGTTTTGATTGCTGCTGCACTCACCAATTACCGATGGTCCAGCCGTTTTGGTTGACGACAGCGTTTGGGCAGCAAACTGCCGGAACTACCGCTTCGCAAGGAGGCAAGATAAACGAAGCAAGAAGCACAATACATACGTTTCGGTCGCGCGTATTGACATATACAAAAAGGGTTTGTAATGATAGGCAATTGAAGCGTGCGATTAACGATATCAAGATTGGCTCAGTCATGATTTTACGAAGGAAAACTGATTGAAGGAGACTCTTCCTTGTAAAATGATGACGAGATCTTCTTGCTAGTTCCTTAAGCAAAGCTACATGCCTAACTTGTGGCACACTTGTTTGAGCAAGTAGTATTCATTAGAAAATTCCAAACGGGATAAGAAACGGATTTGGGTGTACTAGAGGAAACCCTGATGTAGATCGATCACAGTTTTCGGTGACGTGAAAGAGATGAAAAGCATGTTGAAAGAGAACATATGCTAAACTAAAACTAATATTTAATACCTCAAAGACATAGAAAGAGTAATGATAACATATTTTGCCGTCAATCAAACGATTGAAAGCTATTGAAGAGGAGAACATATGCTCTCAACAAGAAGGTCAGCACTCGTGCCACCTGTATCGTATTATTCGAAATGACACTATTAAAATTTCGCGCGTAACCTGTCTTTAACGGCCCTTTTTTGTGAAAAATAAAGAAACTCAAACCAATGGGAAAGGAAAAGAAGAGAACAAGCTCGAGTTAGTTCATCGAATTACATCGAAATCGACACTAAGAACCTTTAGTGGTGAGTTCCAACTTACAGACCTTAACGGCAAGCTTGCTGAGGAGGAATCCAGACCGGTCAATTACGCGCCACGGGGAAAAGACTGATGTGTGTGAAATACATGACCAGAAAATAGGCGCCAAATGGCGCCAGCGTCAAAAGTGAATGCAATTTTCATAATCACGACAGCAAATAACCCCTAGATGAAGTCTCAACGGAATCTTTTCGAGATTTTGAGGGAGTTATAGGTGAATAATGCCATATCAAATCGCATTTGAAACCTTGAGCAATGGGAAAAGTTAATACCAATTTCTCGAGATAATACAAGGAAATCTTAGGAGTGAAGAAGTTGCTTGAGGTAGAACGAGGCAAGTCATTTGTATGACCAGAACCGATAAGCACGAGAAAAATAAAATAGCACTGCTTAGTACTTTGCAGTGTCATAGTGGTGAAACGACCCTTATTCAATGCTTCAAATTGGCTTCCAAAACCAACAACAGACAAATAGCCAGAAATAGTGGTGGATGGAATCACAGAAACTATGTACAGGAAAGCTTCGCTTCTTAACGATTGTAACAAAACTCGAAGTTTCCAAATAACACAGCAAAAGATCACGGCTGGATCGAACAGCTCGGAACGAGAACAATCTTTCAGTAGAAATATTCATTCTTTACATTTGAGAACACTTCATAAATAATCTTCGTAAAAGTTTAATTACTGAGAATAACTAATACAAAGGAAGGGACTACTCGCTTTTGAAACATTGGCAAAGGAATGCATTAAGTATGCGTCTGTAAATATAAAAAGAAAATCTCGAAAGAACCAACGAGCTTTACATATGTACAAGGCATCAATAAAACATGAAAACAACGTCAAATTCTTCAAATTGATAAGAAGCATACGTGCCGGAATTTCAGCTGCCAATCAATGAAGTTATCAGAAACCTGCTGGTTTCGGACTAAAACTATCACACAGAAATAAAACATTTCTAATAACCTGTATTCACAATCGTACTCAACTCAACAAGTCTTCGTATTTAGCCCAAGGATTTTCAATAAGGAAATGTTCCAATACTTCCTTCATGGCGAGGTTCGGAATAAGATCGGCCTCAGTGGAGCGGAGCTGGCAATGTCAGCATCAATCTCATTGAGTATCATCAATGATCGAAACAACATGTTTTCATATTTCAAAAATTTGCAGGTAATAGGAAAAAACAGCACAGTTCATGACGATATATCTGGCTAACGTACCGGTGCCAATAGAACCGAATAACAACTGCATAATTATCAAAAGGAACCGGAGAGAGTGTCCAGTTAACTATCATCGCCTCACTAATCAATCCTAGATAGGCATTTCTACATAGAGAGATTGGAGAAGATTTTATAGACAGGTGCCTGAACTTACCAACTCGGTGAAGATGCTGTTTGATGTCAGCACGATCGTAGGTAATGCCGGATGGAGTGATTACAGGATCCTGTAGCAACGAGCATGATATTTTTCCGCAAAGGAAATCCGGAATTTCACGTTTGCGACGTCGATCATCGATCTAAAAAATACAAATCACGTGAAAATAAGGAACAGGTAGTAGTTATGTTATATTCGATATCGGGAGATTCGAGCACTGCAAAGAGTAAAGGAAGCGAACTCCGGAAACAAATGGAATGTAAAGGCAAGTGCAGAACCTTTATCTTTAATGCGCCAAGAGAGTAGGATAATGATCCGAGAGGATTTCTACAAAGTATAATGATGAAAAATAAAAGTATTATAAGACTTTCAACGTTAATTAGTTCCCTATGGGATGCGCCGTGCATTATACTTTCTCTCAGAACTGTAACGGTATTTAAAGACCTAAACTGACTTCAATGGCCATTCGATGTATGGATCAGGGCTTTTATCATTCCAGACTAACTGATAACAAGACTCACACCCCGGGGATGGGAATTGGAAAGTCCGTAGCCTGGCGGAATGTCCAATCCGAATTGGACGCCCGTATCATGCGAATGGAAGTGGTGCCACCGGTCACTAAATTACCTCACCGTGTAGTGTACGATACCAAAAAAGTGGGTATGTTTTCCAAATTGCAGATTAACATAGGAGAATCTCTACGAGGCGGTGAGCAGTGAAAAGACATCGTGTTTAATTTCTTGCGCACATATGGTCGCATTCATAGTCGGTTGTCCGATCGTAACGATCGTTACGACCGCAAAGCATTGGATACATATCGATCGTTGGACGTGTCCAAAGATTGGTAGATCGATATCGAAAACTGAAAGAAAACGAAAAGACGCTGTGCGATCGGTTACGACGTCGACCGACGACCGACTAATGAATGCCCATGATGATGATTTTCCTGCTATGGTGACTGTAAAAAAAAAAATCCGCTATCCAGGGCAAAAGGAACTTATTCTTGAAATACGATCTCCTGCAAGCACATACAGCAATTTGTAAAAGATTAAAAATCGTGAAAGAGAATGTAATCACTTCGTACCTGTGCAAACAGTGAATCAAGCTGAGCCTTATGTTGCTCCCCTTCCTGTGTGATTTGCTCCACTTTATCTGTCACCTCCTCGTTATGAGTGCCCTCGCCTTCCGCGCTAGACTCAGCAGCAGACTCAGCGGAAACAACCTCAGCTATTCGTCGACTTGTCTTCCCTCAATCAGCCTGCAACGCTTGCATAACTTTTGTTTTCGGGCAGAAATTTGCGTAAAAGCAGAAAAACGCAGGTTAAAAATATTGGGAAGCAAAGTAACACACAGTTCTGAAAACTTACTTCCTTAAGTAGATCTGCAGTTCACCCTCTTCCTTAACTCGTTTCTCCTCTTCCACTCGAAACTTTTCTCTTCGAGCGAGGCGCATTTGAGCATGAATTTCGTCGCCGAAATTCATCTGAAAGACTTTTCATAAAGAGAAACATTCAAAATCCAACTTAAAAAAAACAAAGCGAGTGCCAATTATTCAAGAGAACTCACTTTCTGACTGCTAGCTAATTCTTTAGCTTTTGTGATGAGCCGTATAGCTTCATTGTAGTTGCCTAATTGAATAGCTGCACGTCCGCCAAAATAGTAAGCCTTAATATGAGTAAATTCAAAAGTTTTCAAAGAGATTTTTGCTGTTTACGATTCACTTCTAACTATTTCAGGAACCGCAATAAAGTCATGATCATCAGTCCAACAGATATTCCGGAATTTCTCAACGAAGTTCTCCGCCTAGGTGGTCTATATACCAACTAACCCTCTGAGAACAACGGCCTTGATTCAAGGATAATCCTGTTGTAGCGAGATAGATGGTTAGAGTGAGTTAATAGCCACTTGAAGTTGTCCCAGTTATCATCTAGCGTGATCAGAAATGATTGTTACCTTCCTCACAGATCAAGAGAAAAAGCCAAGAATATACCCCAAATTCTTCTCTTGCTTTCTAGAAAACAAATGGAGCGTGTACGAAATCAGCGACTACTCCCCGTAGGACGCTTTCAAAGTCGGTCGCGGTCGCAAGGCTCGCAACGATCGCTCAGCATTAGATACATATCGATCGTCGGGCCCGATCGGGTGCGTAGGAAACGAACCACTTTGGACGATCGTTATATCTATCGTTATGCTATCGGTTACGATCGGGCGTCAAAAAAGAATGCGCCTTTAGTGACGAAGGAAAGCGGTAATTCAAGAAGTAAGCGAACTATTGTTGCCCGCGATCGGGTCCGATTTGGTTTAGACGACGAGTCACTCAAGGCTGTTTTCGGCGTAATATGGGTCGTGGGGGGATGGGGGGGGGGGCACTCTGAGAAAAGTCATCTAGGACTAAGCCTAAACAGCAGGGACGAACTCCGGAGAATACGAAAATTGCTTCCGTACACCGGAGTTCCTCTCCTCTTCAAAAGCTTAGTCCTAAAACGGAGCGTTTCCGTGATTTGACGCGATGTTGCGTGGTGGTCCCCGAACCACATTGCGCCCGTTTTCTCTTGTTACCCCCGGGCACGAAAGTGATGAGGAACCCGTCATGCAATGAACAAAATGAGGCGTAATCAAAGTCCAACTAACTTTAACGTTATTCCTGTCCAAAAATGCAGCTTTTGAGCAGTCCTCAGCAGCTTTACTCCATGCTTTCAACTGGAACAATCTCGAGTAAAGCACATTACCGAAAGCACATGAAAACTTTTAAAACATACGTTCATATAACAAAGTGCTCGGTTGGTGAAGTACGTGGAAACATGTGGATTTCTGATAATCGCTTTACTATAGGCATCAATAGCTTCCTGATATCGCCCTTGTTGAAAGAAACGATTGCCGTCATGCTTGAGGTCTTCAGTCGATTCTGACATATTGCTAACTGAACATGGGCATGTATTAACAACCTGATTTCGCTGAAATCCAAATAATCGGTTAAGAAAAACTTTAATGCTTCATCACGTGCAAAAGAAAGCAAAACACTTAAAAGCAGCGCGTCATTTGGGGCACTTCCACCGCAACAGCTCGTAATGTATGAGATATTTGGCGAGCAATTACAGACATGAGTAGAGCACCTCGTTTTTTGACATTTTTACTGCTTTGGTAATGCACTAGGTACTGTTTTCCATAGTTTATCACATTTTTTGAAGTCAGAGGCATTGACTCATAGACTACTGGAGGGGTGACGTCTCACTTGAGTCGCAGCAGCGACGTCCTTTTCGAATAGTCCTGTTCCTTAGTTTTCGTAAACCACATTCCTCTTTGATCCGTGGTTGCAATTGCCGAACTAGATAGAATATCATAGATGCTCTCATATTTGTGGCTAGGTTTCCTTGGTTTGTATGGGCTCCTGTTTCTTCACTGATTCCCTGCGGACGAGTTCTCGCTCGCATTCTTTTCGTTTCGTCGTGTCGCTGGACGATCCGGTTCTCCTTGTTTGAACCGCTATTGTCCGGCTAATGGCTCGACCATACGAATCGATGAAGGCTTTTTGTTTTATTTTTTCTTCTATATTATGTTGCATAGATTGCTTGTGTTTTTTATTGATAGCATGCGTTGTTGCTTTCAAATCCTGTTTTAAATGACTTTAAGCTTGGGTACTGATTCCTAAATGCTTTTCTGAAATTTGGGTAGGGACGCTTCTAGTGAAAAGAAAGGACACTTCTGTACAGGAGGCAACCCAGAACAGTGAAGATTTGCTCAAGGCATTGGGAGGGAAAGGATCTTGAGGGAGGCGCTTTTAACTGATGTGAAAACCCTATTTCAACACTGGATTCGATCGCTCGCCCCGTTTTCCTCTAGGGGCCAAATTTCTCACAACCTGGACGTTACTCTTTTGCAATAACAAAAATTGGGTCTCATTTAAGGCCGATGTCAGACTTTGCGAATCGCGCGATTCGCTAGCGTCTGCGGTCGCGTCGCGGCCAGTGAATCACTCAATTGGCTGGTACCGCAACGCGACCGCGGACGCTAGCGAATCGCGCGATTCGCAAAGTCTGACATCGGCCTAAGGGGGCATGTGGTGTGACAGTTCTTGCCGGCTACAGAAATTCCAATTTTTGCAAGGGAGGGAATCCCGGGGTGCGTGAACCATTTCGCTTGAACTTTTACACCCACCCCGGAGCTTCCCTCCCCTAAAAAAGTGGATTACTTCATGCAATATGAACTGTCGCAGCACATGCCCCCCTTACTGGATGAGACCCCAAAAATCGAATTGATGACTCAAAAAGCCGATAGAACATTTTAACTTTAAAATCTTATCTATAATTTGGGTTGCCGTAATGCGTACCATCTGTCTTTCTTCTTTGTCCAACCGTGCATCGTTACCCACATCTTCGCTTTACAGGCGGATACTACTATGGCTGTTGGGCAGGGCGTAGATGTTTCCAAGAAGCTCAAGGTTTGTGCATTGTTTTCGTTTTCAGTGTACTATCCACATTATCATGAGTTTAGGCTGCGATAAAAGCGAAATTGGAGGAGCTGGGTGTCTATGTTGATGATGAGCTTCCCGAATATATAATGGTCATGATAGCGAACAAGAAGGAGAAAAATCAAATGAAGGACGATCTTAATTTATTTTTGGGAAAATGCACGAATAAATTCGTGGATTGGTTAGTGTTCGTTCCTGCTTGTGCCTATTAAAACGTAGCTACATTGCAGCGCTCTCTAAAACTTGCCTTTAGTGTACACATAGCACGCTATGGAAGTTACACGATAAAAAAAGCTTGTCAAAAGTACGTTGAAGAAAGCAACTGTAATAATGAAGAACAAAGGAACTGATCTGAAAAAATCTTTAACGCAAGCACAATTCAAGCGACGAGTATCTAATATGTTACTCAGAATTAGAGGTTCATAGTATTTTTTGAGACTGATTATCAAAGCTCGTTGTTCTTGAAAATGTATGTTTTGTAGTTATTTCTTGTTCAATTGTGATTCATAATGGTGTCAATTATTTCTCACGTGTGCCTTATGCAAACGTAATAAACTTAAACTACGGGCGTAATGTGGCTTGGGGTGGGCACCAGGTAGCATCACTCAAAATCACGGAAACGCTCAATTTCAGGACTAAGCTTTTGAAGAGGAGAGGAACTCCGGTGTACGGAAGCAATTTTCGTATTCTCCGGAGTTCGTCCCTGCTGTTTAGGCTTAGTCCTAGAGGCATTTTTACAGAGTGAGCCCCCGAGCCACATTGCACCGACCTGCGGTTTTAATTTTCACTGCTGCATTTAAAATGTCAAGTACTACCTAAAGTAGTCAAACAAGGAGAATGGTCACCAGAGAGACACGGGAAATTTTTATTTTAAGGCTTTTTGATCTCTTCGAAAGGCTACAAACCGTCGCAAGCAAATCTGATAGCCAGTCAGGTGTTGAAAAGCCTAGCAAGGTAATGAATTTAGCTATTGCGCTCTGAACTGATTACACGTGTAAATAGATAAGCGAAGGCAAAGGTGAGCTTACAGGAAAGCGCCAAGGAGAAAGATCGCAGAAAGGATGTGGAATCTGTCTCACATGTGGGCACTTCGAAGCGAGACGACCGAAGAGGTGAGACTTTGTATGAAACGACAAAAACTTATTCCGTTGCACTATTTATTCTTTGCTGTTCCATTCATCAATTTTGGGTGGTTTTTTCTCCGAATTTGCCTTCCTTATTAACTATCTATACAAATTTGGCTCCGGGAAAGCATGATCCATAGAGCGCATATCGCATTCGTTTAGTGAGAGCGCTTGACATCACAAGCATTGACGTTACCACGTTTTTGGCGCTAGCGGTGACGCGAATTTAAGATTTTGACACGTAGTAGTACGTACACGTGCTCTTCGGATCAAATTACTCCCTTTGGCAAGTGCTCAGCAACTTGGGTGAATCAAAGGTTTTGGCGACTTTTGACGTCTCTCAGGTACGAGCCGGCCCTTTCGCGTAAATCGGTTGTGTTGTTCTACTGCGATTACTCAGATTACTTCAAAAGACAAGTGGCCATCCAAATTTAACGACGAAGACGCTCCCCCTGCGTGTTTATATTTATTTATTCACCTCCTACCTACCATTGTTTATTTCTGCTCAGTTTGATTACTACATTCATGTGCCTTAATTGTCAACAATAGCGAAATAAGTAATTAAAAACAACTTTTGGAAAAACATCTTCAATTCTGGAAAAAAGGCGGCATTTGAATAGGATGGTGCCTAATTTCCGGATGATGATGTGTTGCAGTAGAGAATTTTGTAGAAGTCTCTTATACTATTAATTTGCGTCTGAAAGTGCCTCTAATGTAGGTCTAAGTGTAGTTTTTGTTGAAATTTTGAAATACCTGCTCGAATTAAAAAAAGAAAAGCTCTTGAAGTGGTCCCTTTAACATAATTCGCGTTTAAATGTAGCGAAATCATTATCACTGGCACTAAAGTTCGCAAGCAGTGTAGGAAAATGTGTGATGATAACCCAAGTTCTTCGTAGGAATTGGAGTACTTAGATTCTTAGGTAGATCTCACACTTCGTGTATACTATTTTCTTCATTTATAGAAGCTAAGACGCAGTCATCTTCACACCGTCATGCCGAGTCGGAATCGAAGAAGCGTGAAGCTGAAAAGGAGAAGGAGCGTGAAAGAGAAAGAGAACGAGAGAAAGAGAAGGAAATGGAGAAGATTCGGCAAATAGAGAAAGCTAAAGAAAAAGAACGCGAAGAAAGGGCTAGAGAAGCAGAGCAACGAGCTAAAGAAGCTGAACGTCAAGAGAAAATTCGTGAACAAGAGAAGTATGTCTTGTTATTGTTCTCTTTTGCCTTTATCACTCTATCGCTCCAGTCCTTATTACAGTTTTAGCCTCATTAAAATTGCTAAACATGAAATAGGTTTGATATTTCATTAGTTATTCATTTAAGGTTAAAATCCCGATCAGAAGTAAGCCGAAGTCGTGAGACCGCCCGACCTACACGGAGAACGAAGGAGCGTAGGTCACGTTCTCGCTCACGTTCACGAACTTGGTCGGACGACGAATTTGAGCACGAACTTGAAGAGCGCAACAAAAAGGCAAGTGCAATTAAATTTATTTTTTATTTACATTAAATTTAATTAATTAATTTAATTTAATTTATTTTATTTACAATTAAAGTTTATTGTTTCGGTCCTGTTATGTTCTCACTTTTTAGTTTCTTTTTAGTAAGCAATTACTAAAGAATTGTGAACGACGTTTCTACGTTCAGGTAGCATCCTCTGTGATTGCGCAGCGTGCGCTTGCTGCCAGTCCTGAACCAGTGAAGGTCTCATCGCAGGTGCACGTCATGCGTAAAGTCAAAACGGCTACCAGGTGAGCATCTACAGAATACTGTT